ACAGCGTCAAGTGGGCTTGTGTGTGCAACCGGATCTGAGATGGATTAACGACTGACAGTTACAGTCCAGTTACAGAAATATTTAAATCCCTGCCTTACCTTGCGGAGAAAAAAAATGATTAAAAGGGACTATATTTTGCCGATTCTAGTCAGTATGCATGGTGGCGTTCGTCTTGGTATTTCAGCTTCATCTGCAGCATGCTATTCTTCTGTGGATATCTTGCGTTCATAAGAGAACCCCATGTGTGCTGTGTTGTGCACCCCCCCGCCCCCGCCCCCACAACCACCCAATCACTCATTTCTCATCTGATTCCAACTCCAACTGCACACATCTCGGGCCAATGGGCAACCTAAAGTTTGGCCCCGCCTCCTACAGTTAAACCACACCCCTCTGCCAATAAACCAGGCTCCTTTTTAATTTGGCACAGGAAGATCAGGGCAGCCAAGAAGAACGTTAGCATCGCGACTCTTCTGGATCTGTCTTCTTGGCTTCAGCAGTGCAATTTTGAGCCTTTATGTGGATAGTTGTGCTTCTCTCCACCCCAGATGTCTGACATTTTCCTCCACATTCTCAAGGGATCCACAGGTGTTTGAACATTATGTCAAGGGTGAAGACTTCTTCAGTAGATGCCTACCTGTTGTGCTGCAGGGTTCACGTTGCAGTGACATGCCTTCTTTCGTTATGAAATCTGATTACCTGAAATCTTTAATCCTCTAGGATACTGTTGAAGGCATCTCTCCAACAAGAGCTTTCTCTCATCTCAGTGGTGTCTGTCACAGAAGGCATTAAAACAGTAGTCTGGGTCTGGTATTCTGGAATTATTGAGAAGTGGGGTCTTTCAGATGAATTAGTTCACTCAACTCTGTTTTAGATGCTTTTCTTACTCTATCTGAAGCAGAACAAAATGTGCGTGTTTGTTTTTTCCCCCCTTCTGTTCAGCCTTAGCCTAGTAGCTTATGACTGAGAGTGGGCCATTTGCTACCAAGAAAGACATTAAAATTGCTAAGCAATGTAAGCAGTTAGAACAGTACACTTAAGCGAATGCATACCTTCGGTTCACACGAGTGCAATATTTTTGAGAGCTGCAGGTGAAGGGTTATTGGTGCCATGAACGTTGTTTAAATGTTGTCAGAATGATGACCCCCCCCCCCCATGCTTGAAGATGTTTGTCAGAGGTGTATTCCTGTTTGGGAAGGATCATCGCGATTCCTGGGAATGAAACGCGTACCGATGACGCTGACACTTTTGGTAAATTTACAGCACCACGGTGCTGAAGTCTGTGGCGTGTAGATTTTATTTTAATCAAACGCATGATTTTTTTAATGTAATGCAGCTCCATTGAAAGTAGCCCCCCAACACTGAGTATTTCACAGTCTTTCTAACTTTATATTAAAGCTACTTCATAGGAGTGTCATGCTCTCGGAGAGTCTGTAATGCATTCTGGTTTGGTGGTCTTTGTGTGTGGCGGGCTTTATCAGTGCAGGTGGGCTTGACTGCAGCGCCCTCCCCTGCCCCGGAGGACCCAGGAATGTGGCCACAGCTGTCTTTGCACTGATCTGTCTCTCACACTGCTGGAACTCGCACCAATTTCAAAGGTTTAATATGTCAATGAAAATAAACGGTGAACCTTGTGTATGTGTTGAGGCTCTCCACTGTCTCCTTGCAGTACCTGCAATCTTACTACCTGTTGATTTGTAATGTCTTTCCTCTCATGTGCCCAGTCGACGCTGGGGCCTTGTTTTTTGAAAGCGGACATTATGGGTGCTTCTCATGGCCAGTATTTGTCTATCTAATCTCTTCCATTAATGGCTTGTTGAAAATCAGGAAGCCAGATGTATCCCTGCCACATTTCAGTTTCACTTAGTCTTTCCTCTGGGCATCCCAATGTTCCCTGGCACAGCTGTGCCCCCATGTTCAGCTTATTTCATCGTAGGACCGCTGCAATAAGATGTGAGGGTAGGGGTTATCACTGTGTCAAACCACATCACTGGCTTTAAGAAGGAACATGATTAATGTCCTCCCTCATTGGTCTCCATTGTTTGCCCATGTTCCTCCTGCAGTTCTCAGATGTGAAAAGCACCTGGATGGCATTACTTGTTTACTGAACGCTAGTTCCCATTTTAAAGGTCACTGCTCTGTTATTTTCCTTTGTCAGACACCCAACACAGTGACAAAACAGCCATTATGGTGAATCTAACTTAATCAGGTATTAAGGCACAAATGTACAGGGTCAAATGTTTGGTTATAGCATTTTATTTTTTACTTTGTTTTGCTTTCTCCCAGCCATTGAAGAAATTATGGGCTGCATAATAATTACTTTAACTGCGGCAGTTTATACATTATAATTTAAATGTTCCTGAAAGTGATTTTGGGTTATTTACTGATTAAGTCTGTGAAACCTTATACAATTATATGCTTAAATATGAAGTTATATGATACGTCTGCCAAAGAACACATGTGTGATGTATTCTTCATGAGTTGTCATTAAACTAGGATACTGCTAGGCTTAAGCTTATTTATATGTGAATGGATGGATATACCATGTCTTTTCATGATCTTTTAACTCTTGTTGATACAAAAAGGTGATCCGGCAGGCTGCGTGTGTTTCATATTCTGTTTTGACGTTGACCTGTGGTATAGTCAGGGTAGTCCAGCCTTTCCACCTGACTGTCCTCACAATGCACAAGAAGATACTTTGCATTTTGGTTTTGTGGGTTACCAGGTGCAGACTGGCCAGTCAGGAAATTTTCCCAGTGGGCCGGTCATTCTCCATCAACCCCGGCATTGTATGGTCTGTATACCAGTGGTGCCTAACCCGTTGGTTGATCTTGGCATGTTTCCAGATGACAAATGAAATGGATAATGCTTTATTTCATTGGTAGCCAACAGGTTGATCACTACTGACAAAATATGCCCCCCCCCCAGTCAGTGGCAAGTTCCTGTGCTGCTTTTAGACGCTAGTCCGCCCTTGCAGGTCACACCCAAACATACTCATCTGGGGAAAAGATGGCAAAACAAATCTGTTTGTAGTTTAAGAAGATCCTCCTCTTGGGCTTTGAGTAACTGTGTTATTACAAAATTAACAAAGGTCACCTGGCACAGAGAGGCATGCAGAGTTCATTACCTTAGATGTATGTCTTACATATGGTTTCCATTCTGGAAAAAATATTTTTGTATTATAATTTTATAGTCTACTTTTTCCAGGAAATGAATAACGTTTGGTGCTTTGATATGTATTCTCATAGATACAAAATCAGAAAAACCGAATGAATTTAAAAATGTGGGTCCAAATATGATGGATGGAGTGGTGACTCTGAGGTTAGGGATCTATGTCAGCAAGCGGAAGGTTGCTGGTTTGAATCCTGTGGATCCTAGAAGGGACCCTACTCTGCTGGGCCCTTGAGCAAAGGCCCATAACCTGCAATTGCTTCATCTTGGGTTTGATGTTAATCAACATTCAGCCCTGCAATTAGGTCCTCTAACTTACAGGGAACATGTGGAGGTTGGTGGTAAGATTGGCACTCCAATCACCGGAAAAAAAACTCACACTGTTCCATCCAGACTAGTGTGGTGCTGAAGTATCACAACTGCACTCACATTCTCATCCCTGAGGTGGTTTGTCATGTGGTGGGTGCCATAACATGAGGTCATCAGAACATGATCCTTACCTACCTCAGATATGATTGCTTGAATTTTTTCCAGTATTCCTAGATATTTTAAATCAGAGTTTATCTGTAGTATCCCAAGTACCTTAATGTAGGTATTTATAATGGTCATGATTTCTTGTTTTGTTTTTCATTTTGATTAGAAACAATGCTTGCAATATGTATTTTTAAATAAATTACCAGTTTAAGGGTCAAATTATTGACCCTTAAATTTATCACTTTTTAAGTGATAAATCTGGCAAACCAGAGGCTGTTTTCCTTTAAGGAAACCATTAGTATGATTGTATTCCTTAATTAACTGGATTGAATATCGCGCAAAATTGAAATGTTTGGTCATATCTTTAAATAACATTTTCCAGTTAATTATCTGTCAAATCATAAAGGTATTCTGATGTACAAAATATGGATGCTCTTATGAAGTTCTTGGAATATGCCTAAATTATTTTAACATACTGCGTCATTTTAAAGTGGTATAATTTCTTTTACGGGCAAAATAAACCTACTGTAAATAGGCTGTTACTTGTTTAATTGATATCCATTGTACGCTCCATGTGCAATGCACAGTAAAATTCCATTAATAGGAGGATGCTTAATACTTAAAATACAGGTTTATCAGAGGCTTTTGTCGGAATCGACGAGGATTTAATACTGTATAAGAAATGTATACTGGTCGTATGTGAGCAGAGGGTGGAGCTCCCTATATAAATAGCACGGATAACTAACTACTAATTGGATAAATCAAGCCAGGTGGAGGGTCTGTGAAGAAAACCGTAATTAACAGGACCTTCCTGGAATTAAATTATATCGCAAACCTATTTGTCTCAATCACCAGTAATTTCCTCTGAATAAATGAGACCCAAACGTAATATGCTTACTGAAAAATTAAGATGACATCTTTCCACGTTACGCACACCTCCCCAGCTGGCAGTGCAGGAAGACATGGAACAAGTGGTTTGAGGGGGTTGAAAATAACGTGACTACATTTATAATAAAACGCTTAAAATAAAAATGTATTTGTTCAATGTTACAAATAAAACGTTTAAATCGGTCTCCTTCGATGTCATACCGTTTCACGTGTTTATTACATGTCAAAGAGGGACAGCCCACCTTAGTGAAATCAAAACATGGTACGATCCGAAAAAGTTTGTCGCCCCGGAAGAAGACAGTTTGTATTTCCGGTGTGAGGAAAGTGGCACTGCTTGCCTGAGGTTGGGGTATGTGGATGGGTGCTAGTTAAATAGGCTGCTGGTTAAAGGAGTTACAGGTTGGTGTTACATTTTTGTATAATTTTATTTGTATAATATACTTAGAATTTTGCGATGAGGACAAGTCTTTGTAAAGTTATTGGGGTGTTATGAAATCAACAGATGGCTGAGTGAGATGCTAATTGTTAGCTGTCTGCTTATCTGAGTAGCTGACTAAGCGGCGCTGCTAGTTTTAGATAATATACGAAATGCTAAATGGCTTACAGACCGCTAACTTAAGCAGCTGCTTTTCGCTTGGTTGCCGACTGCGGCGCATACAGGAGAAAATACTATCACCGTTGAGGAGAACTTGGATATCTGGTTGGATCTCTCTTGTCTCTTATTTTTAAATATTCTGTTGTTGCTGGTATCGTTGTTAGTATTGTTTTGGTTATTTTTGTCTTATGGGATTAAAATAGCGCAGTCGATAGGGGGAAATTAACTTTGATAGTTAATGTGTTGCTTAAATATGCAGCTAAATATTTGATTTAAATAAGTTATGTTTTAAAATCTCCTTTAAAAACCGTTGATCGTCGCCTCTGTTCACATATTCCTAATTACATTTGGTTTATGGTTCCTCTTGGCATCGGCAGTGGTATGGAGCCTGTTGGTGTCTTGTGTTTAATAATGTTTAAGTATGTATCTCGGATGATTGTCAAGATGTTCTTCAGCTTCAGTATCCCCCGAATCTCTGTATCTAGCATCGCATCCTCATTTGTTCCTACGCAGTTTGCCGCATTTGCCCGGTTTTTCTGCCCTTCCACGCAGTGACGCAGTTAGCGGAGGCCGAAAAGCGCACCGTGGCGGTATTAAAGTATAAAACAAACACGATCGGACACGTTCAGTTATTTATACTATTTGCTACTCACACTTATCCACTTCCCAGTTTAGATAAGGAGCCGGATTTTCTTGGCTTATGTCTAGACTAGACTAGCCTTTACCTTACCGCTACTGTTATGCAGTGATTTGACATGAACGGCTCATGTATGTATTTGCATGTATGTATGACTGAATGATTGTAATGAAATAGAAACACCTTTTTTATCAAGTTCTAACTTGTTTTGCAAGGCACAGTTGTGAAAGCGAAGCGTAATATTGCCCGTATTTGGTTTAACGTTACGGTTCCGATGATCTTTTCCTTTTTACATAAGAACATAACTATACAAACGAGAGGAGGCCATTCGGCCCATCGAGCTTGCTTGGGGAGAACTTAACTAATAGCTCAGAGTTGTTAAAATCTTATCTAAATCTGATTTAAAGGAACCCAAGGATTCAGCTTGCACTACGTTATCAGGAAGACTATTCCATACTCTGACTACACGCTGTGTAAAGAAGTGCTTCCTTAAATCCAGTTTGAAATGTTCTCCCGCTAATTTCCACCTATGGCCACGAGTTCTTGTATTTGAACTAATGCTGAAGTAACTATTTTAGTTTCTCTTCGTGCGTAAAATTGGCCTTTCCCGAGAGCGCTATTCCTAATTATTCCAGTTGGGCGAAATTCTCAGTCTTTCTCCTGTCACTCTTACAGAAATAGCTTTCTACACTGAAGCATTGCTGATTTCTGGTGAGCCCTCTAAGTCTGAATCTCACCTTATTGGGTTAACTGCATAATGTATGTACTGTTGGCGATACTAATAGAAATAACTTTAAATCTCCTGAAGGGAATGATTTGAAAGCTTCAATTGGTATTTGATTGAAAACTACAAGATTAATACCATTCTGCAGCTCGCAGCTAACCATAACGTTTTCCCTTCTTAAGTCTAGAGTTTGGTACATCTTAATGGACAGAGTGACCCTAACTACATAGGTACAGTTCTCTGGTTTATTACTGCTTGTGACATGGTTGTTCTGGCTGTATGTGTGGTAGGCTGTCCTCTATGCATGCTTCTGATCTCCTTTGCTGCTTCCTAGGTACAGCCCAGTTTGATAAAGCCTCTGGTGTCATCAGCATGCCTGTGAAGAAGAAGAGAAAGTCCTCAGGCTCTGATGAATCTGCTCTCAAAAAGTGTAAAATTACCAGGTAAGAGGCCTGCTAGGTGATCTGACTTTAGTGCTGGTCCTGCTTCAGCTGGATTCTTAAGTGTTGCCTTAATTGGGGCAGCGTGTGGCTCAGTGGGCTAAGCCTATGTGCCTGTAATCACAAGGTCGCCGGTTCAAACCTCAGCACGTCTGTGGGTCCTTGAGCAAGACCCTTGATATAATAAAAAAATAAAAATTTCCCCACAGGGATCAATAAAGTATCAATTATAAATTATCTGAATGATGGCAGGTTCAGGGCTCTGGCAGGTTCAGGGCCGTGCACATTTCTCTCTGGATAGGTATCCAGGTACATGACCTGCACCAGCACGTGAGCCACCAGCTGTTAAAATGAGAAGCATTTGAGGCACCGTGCTCAGCATATCTGTCCAGTTACATGCAGAACATGAACATTCTGGCAGGAATGTCGGCAGACTCTTGGCCTTGCTGTAAACCAATTTTTCTGTTGACCATTTACAGTTCAGCATTAAGAACCACTTGTCATTTTGTCTGCGGGTCAGTTTTTGCAGGACACAGATTCCCAGCAGACTGATCAACCCAGAAGACCACTTTTCCAGTAAGAAGTGCCAATCCTGGTTCTACGAGTATACGGGTATGCTGGCGTGTACCTGTACCTCTCTGTCTTTGTGTCTCTTAAATTGACCTGTTATGTTATATTCTTCTGTTCTTGCTGTCTTCCATAGCTGTAGCTTATTGTTGATGTATAAAGTCTGTCTATGGAACCTGGTTCTGTACCAGCTTGGTTTCTGCTCTCGGATGCAGTACGTTAACAGCGGTTGTCATCAACCATCAATCAAGCATCGTTGTAGGTGTCCGAGAGAGGTTTGGGTGATGGAAATGAGTCTGAAAGACCGGTACACATCAGTGAGAAATGAAAAGGATTTTTACTCTTTCAGACACAGATGAGGTTGTTGGCCCAGAGGGTATGGAGAAGTTCTGTGAAGACATTGGTGTGGAGCCAGAAAACGTGAGTTTCCCCTAATAACAAAAACCACATGTGGATCACGCTGAATTGGTGTAGCTGGTGCACAGGAGGAGGATGCTGTTGGTTTCTTTTAAGCTGGTCTCCCGTGCTTCTCAAGACCCTGGTCCTTCAGGTCCACCTCAACCACCGGATCACAGAAAACCGTTAAGAACTCGATTTTACGTGACCCGTCCCCATCCAGGTGCCTCTACAGGCCTGTTGGGTAGGATGGGTAGTATTCAATAACCTAATTACTGTGTATCTGCAGCAGTGTAATATAATTATCCTGGTGTTTCTTTTGTCTGCTTTAATCTTGTGTTAATTATCCGTGGCACTTCATCTGTTTTGCACAGATCATTATGTTAGTTTTAGCCTGGAAGCTAGAAGCACAAAATATGGGATTTTTCACAAAAGAAGAGTGGATTAAAGGCATGACCTCACTACAGTAAGCGACGCTCCTGCATTATCTCTGTATACGGTGGCCTGCTTGGATCGTCTCCCCTGATGTCCCCCATGATCTCGCCCTCACAGGTGCGATCAGCCTGAGCGCTTACAGGGAAAGCTGGACTACTTGCGCTCCCAGCTGAACGACCCCGTCACATTCAAGAACATCTACAGATACGCCTTCGACTTCGCCCGGGTGAGCGTCCGCCTGGCCAGCCGCTTTTCTAATTGCCGTGACGACGATTCCCTAAATGCTCGTTGGCATGCTTTTCGCGTGGGAAGCTTTGTGGTTGATGCTGATGGATGCCTCCGGTTGTAGGATAAGAATCAGCGCAGCCTAGATATGGACACAGCAAAGTCAATGCTAGCTTTAATTCTCGGAAGGACGTGGCCCCTCTTCCCGGTTTTCCATCAGTTTCTGGAGGTACGTGTATATTTGGGTTTTCCCTCCCCTCTTCTATACCTGGTGATGAGACTAAGCGCACATCTGAGGATTGTGTTCAGAATGGGCTTTTCAAAATGTGATTTGACACTGGATGATTTGGACCTGTATGGGTCCTCCCACCACCAGGGGGCAGTGTCTTCCGTGGTCTTGCATGCCTGTATGTTTGTTGTATGGGTGGGGTTATTAGTTCGGAGACAGGAAAATTACTGTCTCCCTATTCTCTTCCAGCAATCAAAATACAAAGTCATGAACAAGGACCAGTGGTATAACGTCTTAGAGTTCAGCAGGACCGTGAACACGGACCTCCGGAACTACGACGAGGATGGAGCGTGTGAGTTTGTGCAGCTTGTTGGACTAAATAATCTGGGGATGGAATTCCCTCTAGAGGTAGCGAAACGTATATCCCACCGCATACGTCTGCATGGGCGTTAGACATCATTGGCCTTTCAGCTGTCCTGCATTGAACCGAAAGGTTTACTTTCTCTCTTATCGACCAAAAGGGTTCTGGTGCGCTGAGCTGAACCCATGCCTGCTCTGTTAATGAGTGGGTGGTAGGGCTGGTCATGGTGGAGGGTGTAGAAGGGCATGGCCATAAATGTGGTAGAATGCTGGGTGAAGTTTGAACCCATGTTGGAGTAACTAGTTCTGCACATTTAAGGATCCAAATGCCAGCAGACTTGTAAGCATGGTGAGATCATCAAATACTATGGGTATGAATGTAGCACATTCGTGTAACACAATGCGAAACAGAACCAGTGTAATTATGGCCTCCATGCTGCTTGAATCTTAACTTGAAAATCGTGGCTGAATTTACCAGATGCTTGGTAGTTTATGGAGCAGGCTGCTAAACTGGCCGCTCTGGCCTTGTGTGGGCCCAGCATGCTGGTTTTTGAAGTGACATGAGACCCGTTTCCTGTATGACACTCTTTCATTGGCTGTTTCCTCCATCCCTCCCCCCATCCAGGGCCGGTGCTATTGGACGAGTTCGTGGAATGGCAGAAGGCCCGGCTGGTGGTTTAGCGGGGGCATGGCATAGGAAGCGGCGGGTGTGCAGATGGCAGATGCCCCCCCCCCCCGACTCCAGCCGGAATGCTTCACATCCGCCATGCAGCCCATTGGAAATGGACTTTGACAGTGTTAATTTAAACTAAAGGGGATTCAGTTGTGTCTCCATCTGCACTGGTGGTTAAGTGTCCAGTGTTGAAAGAGGCACTGGGTCTCTGTTAGGGTTTCCTTTGTCTTACCTCATTTATAGTTTTCAGAGTAAGAATAAAAGACTGGAGATGGTATGTGACACTGATTCCTCCACTGCAGGGACGGGATTGTCAGGAGTCACACAGAGTTCATGTTGAATTTCATCTTTCAGCCACTCAACGACTTTTCCTCTTTAAATGAGCACAGGAATGATTTTTTTGGTCAGTATTTATCGGACTCAAATTAGCTTTTAATGAATGAATCGCTTATGTTAAACTGCATCAGTATTGCCTAAGGAATACTGCAACGATTGCAGGTTGTATGTGATTTTCAAAATTTAACAAATGACATTGTTCAAGATGCAGAAAAATACTAAACTGAATGGGTGGCCTGATGGTTTGGTGGGTAGGAATATGCCCCACCCCACCCCTGGCTGTGTCTTCTCATGCCGCTGCCCCCGTGGAGGATAGATGAAGATCTTCTGAAAAATTAAGTATAGTGGCAAGAATATTAAAATAGTTTTGCATAATCAGCAATTCAGCATACTGTTTAATGCAGTCTGATTGGTTCTTTGACTTGAACGTCTGTGAATGCTGATGTTGGGGGGTTATGGCGGTCTCAGGCACGGGGAGGGGCTGGATGAGGGTCACGCTGACAGCTCAAACACTGCAGTGCCGCCCCCAGGCTGTCGCCGGCTGGGCTCGGGCTCGGGCCCCTGGGGAGGCAGCGTGCTGGTGTCCGGCCCCACGCCTGCGCTCATGATGTTGCTGAAGCGGGTGAGAGAGAGCGACCTCTGCTTTGCCAGTGGGGCCTCGGCCTCCGGCACGGGGGCGTAGGGGCTCCCGTCTTCGTCGTAGTGGTACAGCTTGATCACCCTGCGCTTGGACGGTCGGGGGGCTGGCTGCGGTTTCCTGGGCTCTTCCGAGGAGTCATTCGTCTGTCTTCTGGTGGCCTCCTGGTCCTCAGGGTGTTGAACACTATCACCATGGAGGTTACAGTCTCCTGGCACCGTCTGTTCCGGATGGGTGTCCTCTCCGCCGGGTGTTTCCTGGTTCGAATCATCATCCTCGCCTTGTCCGGCCAGTGTGGTCCGTGGGGCCTTTTTGGGAGGCGTGATCTGCTTGGGCTCACGTGACAACTCATCACCAATCTCGATGTTCACAGAGTCCTCTATGTTTGCTTCCGGACCCTTCCGGAAGGTTGTCCTTTTGTAGTGCACAGCATTTTCCTTTGCTTGCTTTACCCTCATTTTCTGCAGACAGCGGTTAAGGTAGGTCCTACTAAAGGCTCCTAGGCTGAACCCTGCAAGGAAGGTGACAGTCACCGCAGCCACTACCGCAGCCTCAAAATGGCTTTGGGACACCACTCCTCGATAGCCCTGAGTGTCTCTGCTCTTCTTCGGGCTGGCTGGCACATATCGGACCCTGTATGGCTGGAGGCTCTGTCCTTCACCCTCCTGAAGGAGGCAGTAGTACAGTCCATTGTGATAAGGGGTGGGCCGGCTAATCCTCAAGCTGCCATTGGCCAAGATTTCCAGGGGGGTAGGGTCACCTTGCCCACTGCTGTTCTGCCATTGGCCGAATGGGGTTTGCCAGTACAGAAATTCTGTATGGGAAGAAAAATAATGAATTGATTGATTATACAGTGCTACTCTGCCCCCTATGGGTTCAAACTGTTTTTCCTTAACAGCTGCAGATCATGTTGGCTTGGAATGGATCCTTCCTCACCTCCATGCCTGCTCCTTCTGCACTGCAGCGTCAAGGCTGTGTCCTCCTGCAGTGTGCTCACCACCGTGCCGCGGAGCCCCAGGCAGTGGCCCCCCTGCTCACAGTGGAGCCCCCATGGGTTGCCATGGAGATAGACAGCCACACCCCTCTCCCTCAGGGCCCGTATGGTGGTGACTGGCATGGATTGCAGCAGGTTGGCGCTCAGGTTCAGCACCTGAGTTACGAAACAGTTTTTAAAGTCCCCTCATGCCCCCTGCCTACTTCATGTCAGCGCCAAATGTACAGCAGCTCAAACCAGCCAATCAGAGTACAGGATGAGTTTTAGTGCTTTGGAATAGCAGTGTAGACTAGAGTACAAATTGTAAAACTTCATCTATACTATCCTAATTCATACTTGACACTATGATGGCTCTTTAACTACACACACGCTGGTTAGCTTTCAGGTAGGAATAGCATGTTCTGTACTATTTACTAAAACTCCATAATATGAATTTCACTAGAAATGTGAATGGCTTCTCCGAAGAGAAATGTTGCCAAAATGCCAATATAGACCAATAATGATCACTCCACATCCTAAGGTGACTGGGCACCTAGTCCGATGAAAAAAATTTGCTATTCCAAGTTTTATTGGAAGCTAATTGTAGGTGGGTGTGGAGTGGGGCCCTGTCTTTGCACCCTGAGGTCACCTGGCCATTCCCCGTCAGTTTTTCCACTTATTTCCCCCTGTTTCTGTTCCTCACTGCCTCCTCCTCTTGCGGATCACCTCCAGGATGCCCCTGTAGCTCTTCCACTGCTGAAGTCCCCCTGGCACAATGGATCACCCACCTTCAGCTTCTCCATCCCCCAGAAGGCCTCTGGGGACACCTCGGAAATCAGGTTGAGCTCCAGGTGCAGCTCCTGCAGCCCAGAGCAGAGCTGGAGACTCGAATCCACGCTGGGGATGCGGTTTCCCGCAAGGAAGAGAACGCGCAAGCTGCTCACTCTGCATAGCGCTGCAATACCAATTTCAAGTCAGTAGAGGGCACAACAGACACTGGACTGTCAATCCTGTAGGTGACATACGCAGCCGACTAGGGCACCAACATCTGAGCGGGTGCCGACTTTCCTCGGCTAGGACCGGCCCTGTCTCATACAGACCTAGTATTAATCAGTCAGTAATTAAAAACTAAACTTGATCATTCTTGTACCGCTGACGCTATTCTGCCATTCTATCTAACATGTCTCGGAATGGAAATATGGAGATTTCTGTAATATCTACATCCTAAATTTAGGTCAGAAAGGATGATAAATTAAATAATCTTCGTAGCCAGTTACCGGTTTCTGCCAGCTGCGTCTGCCCCATTTTCCTGTCAAGTGAACCAGGGTGAAAGGCAGCGGTCCGAGTCCCCAGCAATTACAGCTCAGGGCAATTCGCCGGTGCGGCGGTAAATGCGACCGCATCTGAATACGTAACATTTTAACTTATAATAATATACATATTTTTCACCATAGGAACCAGGTGATATAACTGCAAAACTTCATATTCAGAAGGACAGGCTAATCTGGTGCCCATTGAGGGGTTAATTATACAATAATGCAACTACTAATTTATAATAATACAGCGTCTAACATAATGCAGACAAGACATGGGAACTGATACTAGGCCGGCAGGATGGGGTGATCTCACCCCATGCAGTTGGGAAAAATCAGGAACTGACAGCGGGCGAGCAGGTCAGGGTGACCTCCTCCCAGACAGCGGGAAAACAGGAACCCATCATATAGCCTAACCGATGCTTCTTTTAACTTTTACTTAACAAAAAGTGGAGAACATGTACTCACTGACTAATTAGAGCAAATGTCAAAATATGTTGTAGTCACGTAGATGGAAAAGTACCGAGAAGGGGGACAACACCCCAGAAGGCCTATAAAGGGACAGAGCTGATACCTATGGTTCGAGCTTCTTGCTGTACATGCTGAATGTATGTCAGATGGTCGCTCCCAGATTATAATCTGTCAGAGAATAAACTGGTGACTTGCAACTACTCCTCGACTGTGCTGTAAATCTCTTCTCATCAACGGACCCGGCGGAGTTTGACTCCAACACCATGTTTCTCGGCGTCAAAAATGAGTGTCATTACACGGCTTTGCAGTCACTGAACAGACCACTTCGATTAGATTTTGCGTTGTTAAATCCAACTTCAAATTCATCTAGTCGTAAATATAGCCTAAATAAATCATCTGAATGATATCTGTAAGTTTTCCTTACTTCCTACATAGTATTTGCAGTCCCTGGCGCATTAAAGGTCCGACGCTGTTTACCTTGTGGGATCGCCGTTAGGCTGTTATTCTGCAGCAGCACCGTCTGCAGGTTGCGCAGGCCGCCAAAGGCAGATGGTGGAATCCCAGTCAGGAAGTTATGTCTGAGGTCCAGGACTTCCAGGGCTTGGAGCCCTGACCACAGCTCCTGGGTCACGGTATGCAGCAGGTTACTGCTCAGATCTAGCTCCTTCAGACGCGGGAGACCAGCCCGCACTCCGTCGTGGATCTCCTGGATGCGGTTGTGGCTGAGATCAAGCCGAGTTGCACACGACGTGCGACACGGTAAGTCTGACCAGGTGAGGCTGGAGATATTGTTGTAACTCAGGTCCAAGGTGTGGGTCTGGCTCCCGCAGCCAGGTGGCGCTGCAGAGGCTTCAGAGCAGTTTGTCGGAACTGGACGGTTCCCGACCCGATGTGCGCTCTGGTCCCAGCGCGCTGGTCGGATTGCAGGGGAGAACCTCAGCTGACACAGCAGTAGCACAAGCAGCGGTCTTGGGAGGTTAAAGATCATCTCCATAGTTGGAGCATGGTAAAAGGTCAGATAATAGTTATTATAGACGCGGAAAACGAGGCTTCTGGCTTTTTTTCTATAATTAGATGTGTAATTATATGCATTATTATGTGCGGCAGATGCTAGGTATTATGAGCAAAACCTTACAAATAAACACGTTTCTTGCAAAAATGATCCGGTTTGTTGCGGTAATAAATTGCCTTTTGTGGAAGACAAAACATTTCTTGACAATTTATGGGACTACCGAATGAGATTATTCCCGGTATCAAAAAGTAATAAAACAAAAAAACATTCAAATAAAGTATCCTAGCAATAAAATAGTAAAATGATGTGGAACTTACCATCCTATAAGCCGGTGATGATGATACCTTCATTCGTCTTTAAAACGTTTAAAATGCAAGCCTAGTTTCTAGTAGTAAAACCCTTGTTTAAACCAGGCAAAGCAGAGGTCCCTCTCTCTGTCCCGCCTCAACAACATCATGATTTAAACCATGTTGAGGTGTAAAGTACAGGTCTCACATGATACATGGAGCGTCTGTTTCTGGTTGCAGGGTTTAAAAATTAACAGTCGGGACAGTAGCATATGTGGAGGGAACAGGTGACACTAATATGACTATCATACCATGAACAGGGAAGCAGCTGATGAAAGAGAAGGAGTTTGGGAAACGGCGCTGGGAGTGACGGAAAACAGTATAGCACCCGCTGATGTTTCGGAAAACACGGCGAAGTGGGTGTGTCAAATTTACAGACACACAATCCGTTATATTACCTGTAATATTACCTACATAAACGAAACTGTGTCCTTTATTTCCATTTCATGCATCCGGCCATCTTCCACCCCTTTATCCCGGTTAGGGTCACGAGCAGCTATGCGGTTATGGTTCTGCCAGTAGCAGCAAGAAAGCGGTCAGCGTCCGGACCAAATTTTAAAACCAAGTACATTTTCTCAAGTATTTTATAGGCGTCTAAATTTTTATCTTCACTTTTTATATAGGTCCATTTTCTACATTTTTCATATTTTTACTACCTAATATTTTATTATTATTATTATACCTTGTACGTTGCACAGTTTGGAGTACAGCAATTTCATTTAATTGCTAGCAGCATTTATTTATGTGACCAATTCTTATGCATGCAATGTGCGAAACCAGGGATTCTCTACTTGGCCACAAGGGGGCGGCACAATCCGACTTTACTCAACGGGAAGCCAGTGCGTAGCTTGACGGTCGATGCGAAGGGGCTTTCCTGGCAAATGCTTGCAGTATAAGGAAGACAGCACGTCTTGTTTAACTTTAAGTTATACAACTTATATGGATCTATAAATCTGGCTGTTCTTTGCGGATCCTTAAGTCTGATGCAAAAGGCGGGTATGCTTGTTATTTTAATCAAGACTAATTTGATACATTTAACGGGATAATTACTTTATTCTGTCCATGCACCTAATAATACCATTCCAAAAATGACTGCACAAGAAACAAATCTTCTAAGTTCTAACTACGAAGGGATTCAACAGAAGTGCAATAAATCTGATTAAAGTCTTTGTAATAATTTCCCGAGATTGTGTTGAGACTTTGTGGAGCCTCGAACCTTAGGACAGTGGTTCTCAAACTGGGGGCCGCGGCCCCCTGGGGGGCCACCAGATGGCGCTAGGGGGGCCGCATCGAAATTGTAGAATCTAAAAAAAAAAAAATTACCTGTATATAAATCAGGCTTGTCAACCTATGTAAAATATAATGTATAAAAAAAAAATAGAAGTATAAAAAAATGTAAATATAAATTTTACATAGCACACTACGCTGCTATGGACATCATAAATTACTGTTCAGTATTCAGTACTTTTGTTGCACTTTTCAGACAATGTTAGTTTTACTGTCAAAACTGTTTTAATACAATGTTATATTTTGTGAAATGTAAATTTAACAAACCAGAGAAATAAAGACTACAAACAGAATCTAAAATCTAAAATTAAGTAAAATTGTAAGTTTGAGGATGGTTTGTGTCATGATTTTTTTTTGAGGAGGGGGGCCACAAAAGGATTCACCCTACACCAGGGGGCCTCCTGCTGAAAAAGTTTGAGAACCACTGCCTTAGGATGCTGCGCTGGTTGCGCATGCGCAGTGCAGCTACGCGCTCACCGGCCCCTCCCTGGAGGGTGAGAGTAACAAGTCCGTGTACAGAGCGGGGAGTCTCGCATCGTGGGGCGGCGGCGTTGCTGGTTGTGTTCACGCCTCCGCTTTCCCCAGGGGCTCTGGAGAGTGCGTCAGCGGGGGAGAGGATCCCAGCGCAGGTAAGGGGAAACGGGGGGAGTTCAACTGGGAATGGGGTATGTTTAGGCGAAAAGCGATAGTGATAAAGCAGCGGGGTGGAGGGGGGCTGCCGGGCATGTGTGCTTATCAGAAAGTGCAGCGTGCATTACGCAGAGGCGCCCTTCGCTCGCTTTAAACACTGTATCCGATCCGCGTTCACTGGAGACGCTTTTGCCGTCCGGTGCCGGGGACTGGACCCGCACCCAGTGTGGTCCGCACCCAGTAAAAGCAGAGACCCCACACCATACAGTCCGGGTCCAGCAGATTGCGCCTACATCTGACTAAATTGGTTTCCTCTTGTGTGTTTCTTGCCGTTTCGGACCGCTAATTAACATGACATTCTTTGGAGCAAAACAACTGAAAAAAATCTGAGTTGCAAAGCGTTGTTTTCTGGCACAAAAAACCGCAGGGAGCCCCGCCTTGTCACCTGGGGGTGCCGAAAAAAACATGGGGAAGTCAAAGCATTTATCGACTACTTAATTTTTAATATATTTTTGTTTGATTATTTTTATATATGTATGGGTGTGTGGGTGTATACTTTCGAATTCCACCCTTTGCACACTTCCTCCAACAGTTTTGAAGTATGAGAGAGGGAGTGATCGTGACTCACCCCCTTATTTACTCCAATAGTCGTTTCTTGTCTCTCATACCTCCAGAGTTTCTGTCCCGGCTGTTTACGAAATGTAAGAGAAACAGCAAACGGCGCAGCGCCTTATTATACGTGGTTCGGTGACTCTTTCCCCGCAAGTCTGGTCGCCCCATTTTCTGTCCCTTGATGCCGTATGAGCCTTTCTGTTGTGCCGTGGCCCTCGTATTAGTTTTCCTTATTTTTACTGGCCAGCAGTTAGTTTTTGTTTCGGCGGATCCTGTTATCGGCGCAGTCGAGTTTCGAGGTCACTCCCACTGGTTTCTCCAGTACCCCGAGCTATCAGATGGGCTGAGTTTAAGGTACTTTCGATCTCGCCCTCCTGGTTTTTAACTATGTTACGCCCTGAGTAAGGGGGTGGGGGGGGGGACCCTCCAGCTGACCCGATTACTCAGTACTGTTAGTAAATGATGGTTACTCTGTACTCTCTGCCACAGGTGATTGGCTTCAGGCCACTTTGGGAAAACACAGGTGGCCTCTAGTCAAACAGGACTTTGATGTTTTGGAAGATGCCCAATAAAGGCAGATTTTACTGCTATTCTTTTGTCAACAAGAGGAACAAGAGCTGGGCAAGGTGTGCCCTAGGTATTAGGCCCATTGTCCTTATTGGCTTTTCAGGTCAGGGCAATGGAAGCTGGGGTAGCGTGAGCTGTGGGCAGGTCGTCCGCGTGTGAGTGATGCATTTGGTGACTCCCGAAGCTCGGACCTTCACTGTCCCCGCCGTCAGGGGGCCTCTGCATCGCCGCTGGATAGAATTCCCGGGTTTTCTCCTGGTACTTGTGGCTGCTGCCGTGACCCTTGAAAGTGGCCGCTGTAACGGAAATCGTGCACGAGCAAGCAGAGGAGATTCTAGTGACTCTGGGGGCCCTAAACAAAAAACTCCATGTCATTTTGTCGTTGCGCCTCTATGAGCTATCAAATATGACGTGTGTTTACAAGTAAATATACCTGCATATTAGTCTATAGTTGTGCAGAAATGGAAATTTTGTAAAGTCTTGTATAAGTCAAATCGTATATAAAATATTTATTGTCGATTTTGTCTGTCAGAATACGATTCATAAAGTCACAACTTTAAAACATTACAAATACAAAGTTCAGTTTTATGGTTGCGGTTTCTTCACTTTGACACCAGTGACATTACTGTCAAAATCCGTCACAGTGTCCCAGCAGACGTGGCTTATTCATCAAGCCGCAGCCCCCATTGTGAAGTGGGAGGGGGCAGGATCCAGTCACATCTCTGTGTGGACGGGGTCCCCGGCTTATTAAACCCGCCCACCTCTAAAACAGTACAGTTCACGGGTTTAGCTATAAAGTGAAACTCAGGGAGGTGGTGCAGAGGATGGGAGTGGGGGGGGGTGTGTTTCGCCGGCTGAGGTGTGGTATGCAGTCCTTCTTTGCAGAAGAATTGCATTTTACAAGACCAGTTTTGTCAGTCGGAGGTGTAACTGCCCTCCCTCCCCCTCCCTCCCCCTACCTCCTCACACACAGGCCTTTATGATCAGGTGACAGGAAGCGTGGCTCTGAGGTCCAGCATGGCCTCCTCTCTCGAGCCGCTTGCCGCTGCAGTGTCCACCCTGCGTGTCCCAGCACACTTTCCAGCCCCTTTTCCACACACTTCCTCCAAGCTGAGGAGCCAGCAGCTGTCCCTGTCCAGACTTGGGGGGCCCTGCAGCTGGATGACCTGCACCTGAGAGGGCAACTTCTGGCTGGGCCCAATAATTAAGGAGAGCTGGAAGCTGTCAGGAATTCAATAAAAAAAGCTAATGACCACCCCCCCGCCCCCCCACCACTTACCACAAGGGTCTGTCAACAATCGACAGGAGCTGAAGCAGCTTTTCCCAGTGGGAGCCCCACCCCGCACTGTAACCCAGTGGCAGTGGGCCGCTTTTCCCAGTGGGAGCCCCACCCCGCACTGTAACCCAGTGGCAGTGGGCCGCTTTTCCCAGTGGGAGCCCCACCCCGCACTGTAAGCCAGTGGCAGTGGGCCGCTTTTCGCAGTGGGAGCCCCACCCCGCACTGTAACCCAGTGGCAGTGGGCCGCTCCGGCCAGCCGTATGGGTCTTTGCTGGGAGAGTCACTTTTATGGAAGTGGCAACCCACGTCCTTGACAAGTGCTGGGCAGATTGCAGGTCTCTGTGGCAAGCTGGGGCATTGTGTGTCATGCCTGTACTCGTCACACAGAATCCACGTAAACACAGGCCGGGCCGCGGATTGTGTGCTGCTGTCAAGCCTTGCTGACGTTGTAAGTAATGACACTGTGGATAGACCTGTCACTGTTGGAATAGAGACAAAATGTAATTGGCTTTGGATACATGTCACACAAGCTTGTGAACCCCCCACCCCCAGTCGTTCCACATGGTACAATCCATCACCTGCTTACCTGATTCAGCCAATAACAGACTTTATCAAAACATAATTAGTGCAATCAGGTTTTTCGGTGTTGGAACAAAACTGCATTGTTGGGTGTCACCAACAAAGCAGTCTTTGTGTCAATCTTTGTGAACTCCCCAGCTAAGCACCTGGAAAAATGATCCATGTAGTATTTTGTAGTATTTTGTGTTTTCAGGGCTCTGCCTTGCCGTCCTCCTCTGATAGTACTGATGGCGCCCCCTGTGTGTCATGTCCTCCCCTTGCAGGTTCTGGCATGTTTTCCTCGGCGAGTCCTTACAAGGGCCAGCGGTACGCGGCCCTGAAGAAGCAGTGTCTGCAGAGCAAGGTGCTCTTTGAGGACCCTCTGTTTCCCACCAGCGATGAGTCGCTCTTCTTCCAGCGAAACCAAATCGGCCAGGTGGTGTGGAAGAGGCCCAAGGTGGGGTGCCGTGCCGTGCCGTACCGTGCCATACTGTGCCGTGTTGTCTCCCAGCAGGCCGCCACACGCACACGCGCGCAGGGTGAATCAGCAGGTTCATCTGGCTTATCGCTTGCGGTGCTCTGGATTACCTAGCTCCAGTTTAATCCCACCTGCAGCTCCAGCAACAAGTGGATCCCTACCGCACCCACAGCGCCTCCAGTGGTGGTGCCGTGTCACTGCGGCCTTATCGGGAGCTGGGCCTCGGGTCGGGGGGCTGTTTCCTACCGCTGACAGATAATTGTCTAGTATAATGAAACAGAAATGTCAGACAGAGAGCAGTCAGGTGGTAGGGGGCCTGCGGGGAGGGTCTGTGGATCATGTATGATGATGAGGAAACAGACTCTGTCTGATGGGGGGGGGGGTCACATTGTCCCAGTGTGGTTTTTGCTACAACTGTCTAATTAGGTCACTACTTAGAGGACTGATTGGCTGAGTCCTCACACCTGGGTTTGAACAGCTGACCCAAAGGTTACCCCAAAAACCCGCATCCACACCGGCCCTTTGCGGGTAAGACTTCCCAGCCCTGCTCTAGACAGAACTGGAAAAGACGTTTCCACGTTAAAAGACTGAAAAATAATTCCCAGAACTTTCAAAAGAATGAAATCAATCTGACGGTCAACGTCATGCTGCACAAACAAGAGTGTGTTTAATTTTTCCTGTGTCTTGCATCTCTCATGAGAGAGACTGAGTGCTGATTAAATACTACTGTCCATTACTCACAGGATCATCCTTAATCCCCCCCCCCCAGCATCAGCCGATAAACAGGAAACGGACTCGACACTCATTATGGCCCAGTGCTCAGGTGGTGGCGAGGGAGGGGTGGGCACGATCGATATCCGCTCGCTGGCCCTGTAGCTGCTTAAGAAGCTCATTATTCGCTGATGCATCTCTCAGACTTGCCCCCCGATCTCCCCCCACCCCGGTTAACAATGTTTCCCTAACGTTGCACTAACACTCAAAAGTCCTCAGTGGAAGATTATTTCCCAGAATCCATTTGTCTGCGGCTTGGGTTCATTCCAAAATGTGAGGCGGTGAACCACGCTGACCTTCAGTGGGGGCGGGGTGGGGGCTTCCCCTCCTGCAGAGGCTGGTTCCCCCCAGTGGGGGTGGGGTGGGGGCTTCCCCTCCTGCAGAGGCTGGCGCTCCAACCCTAAGAGGCCAATGGTCAGCCGTCCTGATGTATAACCTGATTCCCATCAGACCTGCACTGTCTGTACCCCTGTCGTCCCCCAGGGGGCGCAGTACGTGGTGTCAGACACTGGGGCTGTGGCCTGTGTGTAACTGGATACTGTAAGTGTGCAGTTTTATCCTCATACCCCTCTGACATTATCTCTGTTTTTTTTTGCTGCCTCGACTGTGAACTTCTGGTATAAATGATGTGGTTGGTTGCCAGGAGCAACCTGCCCCCCCTGCCCCACATCTGTCACATGCAGGGAACATGGAGAAGAGAGAGGGGTGTCTGGCTGGTGTTGTGACGTCAGGCAGCAGAGAGGAGGACAGGGGACCGCACATGGGCACACAAAGCGGTGTAGCTGTGTAGCGTAACTGTGCCTCACGATCCTCACAGACCCGTTTGGTGACTTTCCCGTAGCTGCCTTCTGTCTGCTTGGTTTTAGCGGTTTAAGATGACAGCGACAGGGCTGGGCTCAGCACATTGTTTATACGAGACGGAATTTAAAGTGAAATAACGGCGTTACCATGGGTGGCTGCGGCAGGCGCTCGGAGTCGCCGCCCTGGTGGCGGCGTCGTGCCGTAGCGTGTGTGCGTGTCCCATCCCTGAGGGAACCCCCATCTTCCCAAATCTCACCCCTCATTTCTAAAGGGGAAAATGCCGGAGACATGTTGGGACGGCGGAAGCACGGCGGGCGGTTGAGGGTAATTAGCTTGTCCTTCCCAAGTTTTGATCCAGTGACTGTGTAGGAAGGGGACCCCATCACTGTTGGAGCAGTCAGACTCTGTGGCTGAACACATGTGCACCATGTAGACGCCTCTCCTCACGCTTGTGGTCGACGTGCAGGGGAGGTGCTGTTGACAGGACAATAGCCCAATGACGGCAAGGCTGGTCACATGACCACAGCCACTGCTTGCTGGTGGGCACTGTCTGCCACATCCTGATCAAATACATTTCCTAATTGGGCCCGTGCCTGGTTTGTTGACACTGTATCTCATGTCTGTGAAGTGATGGGGGGTGGGGCAGAGTGCTGGGGGGGGGGGGGGGTGTGGTTCTGGTGGTTTGCTTGTTCAGTGGATTTGTGATCGTTTGTGTTGCAGGGCTTGGCTGGCATTTGTGGACGCTGGTGTTAGCAGGATTTAATGATGCACTGGGCCGGCCATTTCTGCTCTTCTCGTGTTCTCTCTTAGCTCTGTGTCACCGTGTTCCCCTTCCCCCCCCCCAGGACCTGTGTGCAGACCCCCACCTGTTCGTCAATGGCATCAGTGCGCATGACCTGCACCAAGGCCAGCTGGGAAACTGCTGGTTTGTGGCGGCCTGCTCCAGTCTGGCCTCCTTGGAGCCGCTCTGGCAGAAGGTGAGTCTTGAAAGGTGCAGGATTTAAAATGCTAAGATGTTTCATCCATCCGCTTTCAGGATCAGGGGCTGTTAACTGTCCAAATATGTAAAAGGTGTGATCCAACCTAATTTGGGGGTATGTCTGGTTTTCTGACGGCGGGGGAGGGGGTTGAGCATTAATTAGGTAAAGTGACCCCGACTCGCCTTTGACGGTCTGACCACACGTGTGGTGTCTGCTCGACTTCGCTCACAAGGAGCGGAATGGGAGCAGCGTCGCCGCGGTAAAGCTGACATCACTGCTCGTTAGCGTGAGGGAGATTCGCTCCGGCGGGAGGCGCAGAAAGGCACGGTCAGGGAGTGTTTTTCTTGCTGGTTGTCGTGAGCCTCCGGGCTGCAGTCGTGCGTTTGGGGCCCTCCCTGGGCGATGCGATGGTGTCGCGGGGGGGGTGGGGGCGGCGGGCTGGAACGCGGAGTCTCTGGTTTCCTCTGGAGGCGGCCCACAAGTAGCTGCATCCGCGGCTACCCACGGCCGCGCTCTCCACGAGTCTCCGCACGACCCATTATGGCCGGCCGCCATGGCAACGGGAGCAGAGTAAGCACACACAGATAACCTCGCTAACCAGGCGCCGAATCGATCGGTTAGCTGGTCACGTGGTTCACCAAGAGCGTTTACCGGAGCTCCTGCAATCACTGCATGTGCAGCTTAACTGCTTAATGGCATCCAGTGTTTTCTTCCTGAATTAGTTTATATACATCTGTACGATGTGTGTAACATAAAGCGTTTGGAGGACATTCCGAGCTAACAGATTTACAGGGTTTGAGGTTTGGTGACTTGCTGGTTTGGACAGCATACAGTTAAGTCCGCAAGTTTAGAGCGTGACCACTGAGGTGACCATTCGTCCAGCTACATGGTGTCACGTAGGATCCGGAACATTCTCATTAGGGGCCGTCCCTCGCTGCCCCAGTCCTCAGTGCCTCTTGCTGACACTCTGACCCCCCTGAGATCTAATTAGTGGGAACCCATCGCTGTTTCTGTACGAACATCCTTTCCCCGTTTCCCCACTGTGTTCACCCTGTTATCTAACATGTGCCCACTGAGCTGTCCTTTCACATGCCTGCAGGGGCCTCGCGTAATTCAAAAAAATAATGAACTTGAGTGCAGGTACCCAGTAGTTCCCAGTAGAGTTTTGCGTTTTGTTGTAAGGGATCATGGCACATTTGTTTGATTATTTAATTCGGCTTGTCGTGGTATCATTTCTCAGAAAGCCCGTCCTGTCGAGTATTATCATTTCCCACCGGCCGTGCGGAAGCGGCTCGTCTGGACCTCAGGCCTGTGGTATCAGATGCTGATCTGAGGTCAGTATGACCTCGGACTAGAGCCCGTGTGATGCCGTTTGGTGTGGTACGTGTGGTTAGATAGCAGCAATTTCCAGCTCGTGTGTATTTGTAAGCATATCTTGAAATGTAGATGTCGTACGTTCATTTAGAGGTTTCATTAATGGACCCAGTGCCGCTGTGACGTCGGGGAACCAGTCAGAGTGGAAGCAAAATGCCTCTCGTGGTTTATTAATGTTATTCGCACAGGAAATGAGCTTGTTTATGCTCAAAATGTGGCTCAATAAGAGAGAATTTGTGTAATCAGCATGTGACAAGGCTTTTTAGCGTGACCAACACAGCGAGGGACATTACACAACTTTACACAGCACCTTTTATTTCGACGTGCGCTGCAGTTAACACAGACTTTAACAGCGTCTACCACTTCACACACTTCATCACCTACAAATGCACAACAGAAGGAGCCGTCCGTCGATTTTTCCCTGTTCTGTTTATGTATATGTGACACCCCAGGCTGAAACAGGATGGTATTTATGAATATCCAGGCTTGGGTGACGGGATCAGAAGATGCTAGAAAATCCGGCGCTGATGAGCGGAAGTGGCAATGTAGCATGCGTGCTAACGTTGACTAAGAGTGAGATTCAGTGTTCATGGTCAGCATGACGGCAGAGGCGGGTTTGGGGAGCCGTGGGGGACAGCGTGACCTCATACGGGGGGGTCGGCAAGAAGCAGCGTCCTCTACTGGAGCACTTTGAAGGTTATGGAGCAGTCGATGTTGGTGGGGTCGGCGCCGTCCTCGAACCCGAACAGGAAGAACATGACCCTGCGGATCTTGGCGAGCTCCGCGATCCGCTCGCCGAACTCCTGGGTGTCGGCCTCAAAGCACTTCACCGCGGCGCCGTCGGCATCGCCAGGGCTGCGCCAGAACAGGCCGACGGGCTCCAGCAGCTGCCGCGTCATGAGCGGAGTCAGGTCCGGCGTCCAGTGCTGCGAGGTGCCCACCACACTGAGGCGGCCCGGAGCCAACAGCCGCACCCCCCAGCGCGCGAAGCGCAGCTTCTGCTCGGGAAAGTCCAGGCGGTACACAGATTCCTGGGGCCGCAGGAGTCGCTCGCCGTCCTGCCGCTTCTGCCCGCGCTGCTGCAGTGACTGCACCCGCAGACGCATCACCTCCGTCAGCTGCGGGTCCTCCTCAAAGCGCAGCTCCAGGTGCGAGGCCATGGCTGCGTCGTCGGCTGCGTCTGCGTCGTCGTCTGCGCTCCCCCGGCTGCGAGCCTGTTCCCCAAATGTGGCAAGCCTCTTCTGGACGCCCGCAGCCTTTATGGATGGTGCTGCTGATACTGAAGGCAGGATCGCACAGGAGATAAATGAAAGGCGATAGGCTGGGGAGCCTGGGGGCGGGACTTGTGTAGTGTGTAGTGTGTATGGCTTCGCTAGGCAACGCCAGCTTCTGACGTCGACTCCTCCAACCCTGGGATTTTCTCTGGGGCATCTGGGACAGACTCCAGGTAGTTTGCACGCTCCTGTGTTTGTGAATTTGTCCCATGTGGCCTGGGGGCCGTGACACACTCATGCTTAAGTGCTACCCGGACCCCCCCCCCCCCCCAGCACGCAGAGGCCCCTTCTGTGGGCCTGTGCATCCCATCCGTCTATGATCCGCTGTGATGTCATACTGTCCCTCTCAATCATTATCATCGACCTTATCAGCCATTGTTTTGGGGGGGGGATTCTTTCTGTAATTTTTTTAATGTATCTTGGTTTTTGTCCCTCTTATTTTCTTGAGTTAAAGTGCTGATTATTTTATAATTGAGTCATCTTGCTTTTTCCTTTCATAAGTACATCTTGATGGCGCTTTGAAGCCATATTCCCAGGCTGACTGTGCCTGCATCATGTGTATCGAGCCTCAGCCTCCCCCCCTAACGCCAGGTCATCCCAAACTGGAAGGAGCAGGAATGGGCACCCGAGAAGCCCGACACCTACGCTGGCATCTTCCATTTCCACTTCTGGCGCTTTGGCGAGTGGGTGGACGTGGTGATCGACGACCGGCTGCCTACCATCAATAACCAGCTGGTCTACTGCCACTCCAACGACGCCAACGAGTTCTGGAGCGCCCTAGTGGAAAAGGCCTATGCCAAGCAAGTACAGCCAATCACAGCATGGCGGACAGCGGTGACAGCCAATCAGATGGCGGGGGGGGGTAGAGTTTGTGTATGGGGGGGTCAGTCTGGGAGGTATTCACCTGAATGTTGTTGGGTTAAAACCCCCACGTTTTTGGGTCATAAATGGATCTGTGTGTGTAAAGTTTTAATGTAATGTGCCAGCATTTGGTGACCTTTGAACCTCTGCCCCCCCCACCATCCTTCGGCCCCTAGAGTAAACGTCTGCTATGAAGCACTGGATGGGGGAAACACAGCCGACGCGCTGGTGGACTTCACGGGGGGGGTGTGCGAGCCCATGGACATGCTGGAGGGAACGTTCTCGCAGGACGACGAGGCCCGGAACCACCTCTTCGACAGGGTCCTGAAGGTTCACAACCGCGGGGGCCTCATCAGCTGCTCCATCCGGGTGAGGCCTGGGGCCGTTACTATGGCGATGGCACACATCCTGTTGCCTGGCTACCTGCCCTTGACATTCCTTGCTCTGCAGAATGTGACTTGTGTGTAAGCAGAAGATAAACGTGGGATTTGTTCTGTTAAATAATTCCGATCTTTAAAGATGAAGCTTCTTTTTAAAAACAGATTATGAACAGATGATCTCGTCACGTCAGTTTTCCTGGAAAAAGGCCGTCAGACTCAGAGCTCAATGCTCTCTTTGTCTTGGTTTTTTCCTCATATTTGAACAGCTAGGCAAACCAGTAGGACCGATATTCATGGGGCAAATCAGCTTCTGGTTCCATTTTCCCACGTGACCTGAGGGATTTCAGGCTCCACAGGAGAGGAGCACTTTTCCAGCAAACATCTGTCTGAAATTAGACACACATGAAGAAGTTTACTTCCAGGCAGCAGATTTCTATCAAAGCGTTAGGGAAAGAAAAAAGAAGTCTGCATACCACAAAACTTCATTGTTCCTGTGTGTTTTGAGCATGGAGCTGCTGAGGAATGCAGGCACTCTTGTTTCCTAGGCGACCAGCGTGCAAGACATGGAGGCGCGTTTAGACTGCGGCCTGGTGAAGGGCCACGCTTACGCGGTGACGGACGTGCGCAAGGTGCGCCTGGGCCACGGCCTGCTGGCCTTCTTCAAGTCAGAGAAGCTCAACATGATCCGCATGAGGAACCCCTGGGGGGAGAAGGAGTGGAATGGGCCCTGGAGTGACAGGTAGTGACCCCTTCTGGTCTGGAGGTCCACCCATTATTGCTCTGAACAGGCCAAACTCTCATGGCTGTGTGTGTGTGTGTGTGTGTGTGTGTGTGTGTGTGTGTGTTTATCCTACCCCCAAACTGATAGAGTTGCCCCCTGGTCACATGCTCAAACAATCTGTTTAGGGTGGTGACCTTAATTACACCTAAATCCAGGCTAATTCGCAGTTACTAAGGAGTGTTTGGGGAGAAATATAATGTGTTAATGTCATATGATAAAGGCTTTTCTTTAATGTTGCTGGTGTTCTGACTGCTGATGCGCGTGTTTGCGCTCGCTAGCGATGCTTAATGGCGCTTCTCAGCTCGCGCCGCTCTTTCCCTGAAGCGTTGTAAGCCTCTAGCCTCACCACAGCACCTCTCCAGAGTTTGAGTGCCCAGGTGCATGCTGGGAGTTCATTCCATGGGCCTGGAAAATGTCAGGTGGCAAGTGAAAAGGAAGATCGATGAGCAGATCCTCCTGCAAAGCATCACTTCATCTCTGTTTTTTTAAATGTTCATCCTGTTGCTGTGGCTAAAGGCGTGGAAAATGACTCGGAGACCCTGATCGGCCCCATTAGCTTGGATGCTGGTGTAGCGGCCCTCTGATTTTTCAAATTCCCACCTTTGCATCGCTCCGGTCATATAAAGTCACTCTCTTATTCAGCTGTGAATTATTAAAGAGGAGGAATCTGATTTTAAGCCATGTGAATCATTTTTTTAATAACTGGCCACATCAATTGTTTAGAGTGAGAGTGACAGTCTGCGGAATCTCAGGCCTTAAAATGTTAATGTCGCTTCATGGGAAGTTTATGAGTTACTAAAAAAAGGCTTTGCCCCTTGTTTTGCCTTTTGTACTCATCTGTAGTTTTTTAAGGTTGAATATTTTATTTGGACGGCCTCATGCCTCATGCCTCTGGGACCAGGGTTCGAGTCTTCACCATGGCTCCAGCTGTGAAGTTTGAATGTTCTCCCTGTGTTCTCATGGGGTTTCCTCCAGTTTCCCTTCACAGTTCAAAAACATGTTGAGGTTAATTACCAAATTGTCCATAGGTGTGCATGTGTGAGTGAACGGTGAATGTGTGAGAGAATGGTGAGTGAATGACAGTGAGAGTGTGAGCGAATGGTGTGTGAGTGAATGGTGTGTGAGTGTGTGAGTGTGCCCTGCGATGGGTTTGGTGCCCTGTTCTGGGTTGTTCCCTGCCTTGCCCAGAGCATCTTACCCTCTGTGATCCTGCGTAGGACAAATGATTACAGAGGGGGGATATTTTATTTGCTTTGCTAGTTTATTACACTGGTCTCGTTACCTTTCTAATACCCAAAAGGCTTGACGTCACAGGGAGGTTTCCTCGTGGTCGTAGTCAGTCTGTGGTTCCTCTCCCAGAGTGCAGGTCAGTTTCTGGCTCTGCTTCAGGCCCCCCTGTTGATATAGGCGACAATAAATGATTACACAAATTAACATGACTAACACAAACTACGTTTTCAAATATAACTGTACAATAAAATTTAATGTTGTTGAACTTGATATGTTCTAACAAAATTTTCATTTGGCCAGTAGGGGGTGTAATTGCATCCCTGATAAAATCGCATGTTCCTGTTGGGCCCTCTGAAGGGGGCGTGGCCGGCCTGTCTCCGCCTAAACTGCAGAGGTTCCCATTGTCCGTTTCAGCTCTGAGGAATGGCAGAGAGTGAGTAAGGGAGAGAGGGAGAAGCTTGGAGTCACCGTCCAGGACGACGGAGAGTTCTGGTGAGCCTCTCTCCGTCCGCGCCTCCTTCCTGCAGTGTGGTATCTGTGGCAGTCGACGTGGAGGTGACCCCTAACCCATCGCTTCTCCCCCACACCAGGATGAACTTCGAGGACTTCTGCAAGCACTTCACAGACATGATTCTCTGCCGTCTCATCAACACGTCTTATCTGAGCATCCACAAGACCTGGGAGGAGGAGGTCATGCGAGGATCCTGGGCGTCGTCCGAGAACCCGCTGAGTAACCGGGCTGGGGGGTGTATTAACCACAAGGCCACCTTCCTGCAGAACCCCCAGGTAGAGGCCCCAGCCGAGAGGAACATGCCATCACGCCCGTTCCTGCCGGTTTGGGTGTTACTGAGTATAACCCCTATCTGCTCACGCAGTACATGTTCGACGTGAAGAAGGTGGAAGACGAGGTTCTCGTCTGTCTGCAGCAGCAGGACCACCGCGGCCAGCGCAAGGAAGGCAAAGGGGAGAACCTGGCCATCGGCTTTGACATCCAGAGGGTGAGCAGGACGTGGGGGGTGGGGCTTGTGCTTCTGGGGGGTGGGTTAGTGGTCCGGTGCTGGGATCTCTGTCATCGCTCTAGTAACCAGCTTCCCGTTACTAGGTTGAGCTGAACAGAACTTACCGGATGCACCAGACCCAGCAAAAGGCGGCCAGCTCCGTCTACATCAACTCGCGCAGCGTGTTCCTGAGGAAGGAGCTGAAGGAGGGCCGTTATGTCATCATCCCCACGACCTTTGACCCCATGCAGCAGGGTGACTTCCTGCTCCGTGTGTTCAGCGATGTGCCTTCTCACTGCAAGTAGGTCAACTCCTCCTCTGGGTGACCCTCCCCCCCCAGACCTTGGTGACAGATCGTATGGCTCTGTAATATAACTGTTTTTGTTTGTTTCTTTCTTTGTTTTTAATTAATCAACCAACCCCTCCCTCCCCCACCAGAGAACTGACCATCGACGAGCCCCCGCAGACGTGCTGGTCAGGCATGTGTGGGTACCCTAAACTGGTGACACAGGTGCATGTGGTAAAGGCAGAGGGACTCCAAGGCCAGGATTCTGACGGAGGTGCGCCCTCGTGTGGACATTTGCAATATAGCAAGCATCTCGAACTTTCAAGAATGCTGTATTTTTTATGCTGTAT